TTCTTACTTGGAACTTGTCAACGAGAATAAGGACAGTAGTCAAGTGAAATCTCAATTATATGTCATGATTAGTTCTTGTAAATTTAGTTCTTCCGCCGATCGTAGCTGATCGTAACTATTCAAGTCAATGTGTTAATTTAAGTGTAGGTGTTCATGGTGAATGAATGAAAGTCCTGGTATGAGTAAAAAACAGAGGGATGGTTTGATACAGTCGACTGTGGTATCTACTTTACTTGTGAAGATGTTTTTTCATTTTAGTGTTTTTGTCTGTAAATTGTGTTTTATTTGTTTTATATCTTTGGATATGCCCATGTCTGTGTTTCTTTGTCGTGTTGTCTATAATAAAACTTATTTTAAAAAAATAGAAAAACACTAAGGCTGCAATGAAGAAGTCAAAGAAAATCCTGTGGTTTTGCTGATGATTTTTCCTGAACCACAGCAAGAAAACGCAATGAGGTCAAGAAATATTGTAATGAAATAATGTCAAAGTCAGGAAAAGACAACTGCGGTTATTGGAAGAACTTGCTGTTCAATACTGGTTAGATTATAAAAAAATGGTATGAGGACAAAAGCAGCAAGACTATCTCCAACAACTTCTCCTCAGATGCAGTTCAAACAATAAGACTAAACTTTTTGAAAATGTGATATATTAATATTATAGACTCTTACATATAATCTGAAACAGATGTAAAAATATTTCATTTGGAGTTTGAGTAAGTTAAACACTATACAGCTCTCTGTTCAGTTTCTTCAACCGCATTCAGGGGTGAGACTGCTGACATAGCATTTGTCCAGAGAACAACCATCAACCCCCCTCCACAAGATGAGGAAGCTTCAGAGGGTCAGCACTGCAGAGCTGGATCCAAGAATATCAACAGAAAATGGTCAGGAACAGAAAATTACGGTTAGGGGGGGAGGTGGACAAGTAATAGGGGTGACCACAGCCTTGAGGGGATGTAAAGGAGGGTTTCATTGAAGAAGTAGAGAGCTTCACAAAGAGTGGACGAAAGAGGAAGTCGAGATATTGTTGTATTCACGATATTGAGCCACTCCTGAGCTGGAGAAAACCCTCAGAGGCCTCTCGCTTGGACTAAGAAGAAAAAGATCTGGACTTTTGCTGAGGGATCGTCAGCGTTGAAGTTTCCTCATGCTCTGATGGGTTTGGGTTCAATGTCATCTGCAAGTCAACTGAGTTTTATCGAGTCCAAATCTCTATCCTGGAGATGCAAGACTTGCCCACTGTGCCAAAACTAGGAACAAATGCTACATTGGATGTTTTTCACCTGAGCCCTGTATAAGGCCTAATCGAAAATCTGTGTTTTATATTGTTTTAGGTAGCCTGTAACATCATCCTCAGCAAGCAAAAACAATGTATAAAGTTAGTTACTATCTACTCCCTAGTAATATACAGAAAATGTTTAGTGGAAGAGAGGGAAGGTATGTTTTAAGAGGGGAAACAACAAGGCGTTCGTACCACACTTAAAAGCACATGTCTTTCTGTTGTGGGGGTGAAGTTGTGGAACAGCCTGATGATCTTAAACAAAGCAAAACGATAGCGAGGTTTACAAGCAAAATAAAGCAGAGTATGATTGAAAAATACATACAAAAATTATATTGTATATGGGTATGGTACACATGAGAGATTTGAAGTATTCTACGTATATATATCGCATATATGTGTGTTTATACGTCTATATAGGTATGGATGTATATACTGCATGTATATATAAGGTCTTTGTTTTCATATTAATGATTAGTTTTATATTCATGCTAGACTTTGGAGCTTTGGTTACTTTTTGGCAACATCAGAAATTCTAAAGACATGTAAAGGGTAAAAAAATAGGAAGGAATGAGGATAGGTACATAAAAGCTAAATAGCTTCAACCTAGAGCCGGCCCAAGGCATAAGCGAACTAAGTGCCTGCTTAGGGCCCCGCGGCAAATAGGGGGCCCCCAAGAGCAATAAATACAATAAAATAATAATAATATTTTTATTTCTTGCATGTTTGAGTGACGCTTTCTGTATAATCAAAAAATATTATTGTAAAAATAAAATTAAACAATGTAAAAACATTTTTTTACATGTGCTGCTGCTGATGTAGGCCTATGACTCCTACTGCCGATATGTCAAAGTTCCGCTACCATTATGTGCCTTCTGCTGTGCAATGTGCACTGAGCATCCAAAGAGCAGGTAGTTGTGGGGCAAAAAAGGACAAATCCTTCAGGAGCAGAGAAAAGAAAGAGGAAGAAGAGAAAAAACACCACGATAAAGGTATGTTTGCATGTCATGTTAATCAAAGAGATTTTTGAAGGTGTGTGAATGATCAACAATCAATCTTATTGGCACATATAGAGGGCCCCAAAATCGACTTTTGCTTGGGCCGGCTCTGCTTGAACCTACTCCTTTTTGATCTCCAAAAAAATAGGGAATTCCTTGCCTAAAATTTTACTATATGTATATTTGATCGAATCAAATCAAATCCCTTGGAGGGAAATCTGTAACTGAAGCTACATTCTGATCTAGACTATGAGAATTCATCACTAGAGTCTAAAACTGTTCATTGCAAGCAAAATAGTCCTCGTAAAATAGGTGGTGGTTATTTGGCGAAATAATATCACAGGGCGGGGTACTTTAGTGTGCTGCTCTCTGGTCAGAAAGCCTTTGTAATGATTTTGAACTCAGAGTCCTGACAGTGATTTTGACGGGAGGAATGAGACTGAATTTAGCAGCAGGACCATGATGTCCAGGACCAGGCCCTCAACAGCCATAAAATGCGATGGGTGTATTGATTTTAAAAACCCAGTGGATCCAGCAAACACAGGCCGAGAATGAGCACGACATGATGATTTAAGCGTTTGGGGAAGAGCTTCTGTCTCACAGCACAGCTTTCACTTATTAAAACCATATTTAGTTGACACACAGATGTAAACTGGGGCTAGATTTCCTAAAACATTCTTGGCTCTGAGTCACACATTTGTTCTGCTGCGAAGGAACGAACCTGTAACTTTGAGAGCAGCAGTCTCCTGTTCACCCCTGGTGTCTAGTGTCAGCGGAGTCTGAACACTGCCAAGTAATACACAGAAAAACTGGCATCCTCAACATCCAAGGAGAACCTGAAGACCTGATCGTAAGTGCCTTAGCAAGACTGGAGCCCAGAAAGAGCTGAAACACCCTCAGAAAGTTCTTGGCGACTTTCTCTTGAGCATTTCTCTTTTATTATATTTCATTTTGCATGGAGTGATTTTTGCACAAATCTGTTTGCCAACAGCTGTCCTGGGTGTCCAGTCATAGGTTCCCTCTGAAAAGCTTTCAAAAAAGAAGAATCAAGAAGAAAACCACAGGACTCAAATCAGCCACAAAAGAAAAAAAAAAGAAAGATGCATGGCCAGAGTTTCACAGAATTTGTCCTCTGAGGGATGATTGTGAAGCCACAAGCTGTGTGATAAAATTCCATCTTCTTCCAAGCCTGGAAAACATACTATAAATCACCCTGGTCATGCTGGAGGATAAACTTCCAGAGGCTGAGTCAGAGACAGACTTGAGGAGGGGAGGAAATCTTTATTCCTCATTGGTTTATAAACTTCTACCTCGAGTTCAACAAAGACTGACAGAAGAGGTTTCCAAACTCGCTCCGTTATCTCCCGTCTTGACAGAAATAAGATCGATTTGGACCTTTTTGGCAGGAGGTGCATGACCTCAGCACTAATTCTCTAGAAAAACACACATTAAAAGGCAGCTTGATAAATCTGGTATACTCAGATACAAGCATCAATTTGTCACGGTGCCTGAATCTAATCAAACTTGTGCTCTTGCTTGCATGAACACTTCATTTCACGTGTGTCTAATGAGTCTGTAATGAAAAATCAGCTGTTACGGCTGTGGGTAAGTGACCCTGCGCTGATTCGGTCATGAGGAATAACCCGCCTCAAGGTTGGCAGATCGGCTACGCATGCATATCAGATTTACCCACCGGTGGCAGAGAGCAAATTGAACCGCTGCCCTCACCCTTTGGTAGTGAATTACGAAGAAGGGGGACGTATCAGTTCTACATGGCAGACTCAGAGGAAAGAGGAGACCACGAGGAGCGCACGACGGTGACAGTCCAACAGAAATGATGGATGATTGTGCAACAAGAATAGCTCTAATGTGTCATCCTCACAGCCTCCTCCGTAAGATGATAACTGCATTACAGCAGGTCAATTTAGCAACATCATACATAAAGATTGACCTCTTGAAGGCATGATTGTGTTGACACCCCCTGACAAAGTGAGGGTTAGGGTACAGGAAGAGATTAATGACCCCCTGCAAGGTGGAGGAAGTATCAGCAGCCAATCACTGTCACAAAGACGGCTGTTAAAGATGTTTTGCTTCAATCTGAAATATTTATCATAAAAAGACAGAGAAATGCTCTTTCAGGGCTCGTGATGGTGTCAGACATGAGTGAATGTGTCTTCATAGAAACCCTAAAAAATGCCATCCAAAAAGGAGGGAATCATTGAGAGAAACTCTATAGATTCATTTATACAACATAAGGAAATCAAAAGCCAAGAGAAGTTTGCACTAAAACTAAAAACAAAAGCTGGATATTATTATTTTTTCTGAGGTTATTTCCAATATTACCATCAGCATGTTTCGTGAAGATTTTTCAAACAGCACGTCACTAACTTGTCTATTTCAATTTGAACTCTCGCATCAACAACAAACAAGTGGAAAGTTTCAGCTCTGTGTCTTGCCAAGGAACACGGTCTCAAATAATTTCCCAACACCCAAAAATGAGGAAGAACAAAAACACGCATGAATTAGGACACGCTGATCCGTGATAAATTACACAAAAATGTACCTGGTCTGGATTTAGGAGAGTCCTTCTTCTTCCTCTTCAAATCTGCACTTCCTGGATTTTTAGAGCGTCGAAGTCAACCTTGTGCCAATTTGTTAGTCAAACTGAACGGTGCGCAATGACATTTAATCCAGTTAGTTTGAAAAAGAAATACACACAAAGATTTCACATTACACAAAAGAGAATTTAATTTAAATAAGTGTTAAAAATAGAAATGTAAAAAGTCCTGAAAAACATGATCAGTAGTTTTACCTGAAGTTAATGACAAGAACTAAAAAGAGAGATCAGGGAAAACTTTTCGGAAGTTTCCTTCTCTAAGTCAAGTTAGTTATTCAGAGTTTAAGACAATTTTTGCACACAAATTGTTGGAAATTCAAAACTAACTTCATATGAAAAAATCTGTGTTTCCTCCTTAATGAGAAATGTAGAAATAGTAAATCACTGAATATTAAACTGAAGGAGGAAAAACTTCAAAAACACCAAGTTACCTGTACTGTGATCTGTGCTGCTGGTGGATTTTACCTGAGTGACTTCAAACCTGCTGCTTTCCTTGTGTGACTCGTGACTGCCCTCTACAGGACGAAAAAGGGAACATCTACTTGTATTAGTCTAACAACATGATACCACATAGATGTTAAAGTCCACAGATTTTGTGGACTAGATGGCCACTGGGTGGACAAGTGCTGGAGCTGCCACTGGTGCTGCTGGGGGGGATTCTTTGCCTTTGTAGCCCAGAGACAGGATGTGCTCCTGCAAGTGTGAGATCCACTGCTCTTGAACGGAAAGAGGTCCATGAAAGACCTTCTCACAGAACCTAGACAGCGGCGAGAAGAGTGGAGCGTTACCTTCATGAACTTTAGACTGTCTCACATTTGTAGCTCTTGTTCCGCTATGGTTTTCTCTGGAGAAAATCTTCATATCTTTAATTTAACAGACTGACCTGCACTTGAGGGAGTAGATCTTGCCCACCAGTTTGACCAGCGGTGTTAACGGGGGCTTCGGCAGCATAGCGGGGATGCTACCTGATCGTGGTGGCTGCTGATTCTCTTCTCGCCTCCCGTGTTTTGGTGAATGAACCCCTAAAAAACATACAGAAAGTATCACGGCTAAATTCCACGCAAGCATTATAATCAAAGTGCATGATTCCACACAATGCGTCCGCCTTTTTTGTCTGACGCCGCAGCTCAACGCATCAATTCAGTGCAGCGCAGCACAAGCGGCAGTGAAAGTTGTATGCGGCTACAGAGAAAATTATCCAGTCCATTTTCAAAAAAAAGTCAATACGTTGAACCGTTCTTTCCGTGATAACAGGAGGGGGATACGAGTGTTAATATGCACTGTTGATCTCATTTGATGTCTCACGGTGAAACACGCGAGATCTCGTGAGGTCTCGTCCAGTCTCGTGAGAGATATCGGTAATATTGCAAGCGCTTCTCCTCCGCTTGCAGCAGCGGATCAGATCAAGTGAGCGCTGTATGCTTGCGTTTTTGATCCGTCTGCCATTCCAGAGCGAAGCGGATCTACATGCTGTGGAATTCCGGCGTCAGTGATCAGCAGAATCAACTTTGACTTATTTTTAAGCCATACAGCTGTTTCTGTTTCTTTCAGTGACACACAATCCACAATGTATGTGCATCCAGTATCCAAGGGATGTTTTATAAAAACAAAAAAAAATCTTCTCGTCATCTTGTCAGTTTTTCTTTTGTATTTAGTGGGACCAAAGATGCATGACTTCTTTGTGTTTACGCACGACAATGTCAATGCTAAAACAGAGCATAAAGCAGCCCTAGTTTATCTTACCACCTCTGGAGCGCGCATTGGGGTCACTGTGGGCTCCAAAGGTCCGCGTGTGGCCTTGTGAGTGTCTTGATAAGCCTGAGTCGTCTCTTCCTTTCTTGTGCTGATGGTGAACGGCGGCCTTCAGGCTGCTGCTGGGCACAGAGTCGGAGTCTGTGGACAGTGAGGGCGAAGCAGCGGCTCTCCCAGACTTTAACAGTAAAAAAAGGTTGAACCGTGAGTGAAGATATAATTCTGTAATCTTAACGGGAATTATTATCACCAAAATGCCAAACACAGCCCACCTTCTTGATAAAGAGATCTCCGGATCTGTAGCGCCGGGTTATCGCCGTCACCTTGGTTGGGTCCTTTCGAATCAACTCGTTGAGGAGTTCGATCGGTGAACTCGCCCCGTCTGCCTTCCATTCAATGAGTCCCAGCTGTCGGAGGTGGGCCCTCGCATGACTGGCCAGGGCCTTGCGGTTTTCAAAGTCAAATCCACAAAGCTCACAGGATGTATCTGTAAGAGAAAGTTGTTATGAAATAACAAAGATATATTCTGAATATTACAGAGCCCGGAAGGTGACAGTAACTTTTTTTTTCATATTCGCACGTGCGATTTAGCATCTCGAACGTGTGTTTTACATGTATCTCGTACATAGGTTTTACTTGTATCCTGTGCATGCGTTTTTGAAAATAAACATCTGTGAGCCTCATTTGTGAGAGATGAAGGACAGCATTTTTATTCATTTAGGTATTACTCACGAAGAGATACTTTACAGCTTAGCCATATTTGGTATTGTTTTGAGTTGGAGACACCTCATCAGGATCCTTAAAGCACAGCGACTTTGCTGTCTGCGATATTCAGACTTGCATGAAGTGATTTTGTTTTTTAACGAACAGTGAAATCCCACCTGCGATATAATAAAACGCACATCCGAGATAATAAATTGCACATTTGAATAAAAAAAAAAAAAAGAGTTCATGTCACCTCCCAGGCTCCGTAGAATACCATAATCTCTTGAATCAAAATAAATCTTTGGGGGAGACTTTTCTGTGGTCAGAAAAATCAACATTTGACATTCGTCTTGGATATGATGGAAGCTGCATCCTTTACTCTAAAGAGTGGAGGAACTACCCTGCCTTCCAGTCCATAATTCAAAATCCAGCATCAGTGATGGTGTGAGGATGCAGAAGAGTTCAATATAACTTCACTTTGATCCACTGCAAAGTAAAAGTTCTGCCATTTTTTAACTGTCTGACTAACGTGTGTTTTTAATGTCTTACCACTGTGTGAGGAGCCACTCTTGTCAGGAGATTTGTCTTTCATGGAGAAATCCAGTGGAGACATACTGGATTTGGAGGTAGGCTCCCCTCCAAGAACGATGCCCGTGGTCGTTTTGGAGCTCTGAGGTGTCCACGTGGCTTTGCCCTTTTTCACTCCTGCTTCGCCATGCACCATGAACTCTTTTAGAAGATCGAGCGGTGATGTTCTGATTGACCAGGTGAGGCCGAGTTGGCGCAGGTGAGCTCGGGCGTGGCATGACAGGGCTTTCCTGGTGTCGAACAGCTGGCCGCAGTAATCACAAAGGACTGTAGGTGGGGTCTGTTCATCTGTGGAGGCCGCTGTGAACGGTGCAAGTAGGACTTATAGGTTAAGTGTGAACATTGGTGCTGGTATAACAACAATTTCTCCTCGTTAACCATAGCATGGATAGAAAACTAAGTCAAAGACACACCTAGTATTTGGCAATGACGACTTTAAAAACTACTTTACCAGCACTGAGAGGCTTTGAAGGGTCAACAGCAGCAGGTGACTTCTGTATGGGAGAGTCGCTGCTGTCGCTGGATCCCTGGGGTTGAAGAGACACCTCTATCTCCACAGGCTCAGACTTAGGTTTTCTATGAAGGGGGTCCACTGCAAGTCGAAAGCCTTTCTTAGCTTTTGGCGCCCTATTCACAGGAGGCTCAGAGGTGTTCTTGGCAGGACTAAGAGAGGGGGAGGAGGAGGGAAATGAAGTCCGTGATCCGCTTGGTGGTGGAGACAGGGCTGGAGCGGGGCCTGCAGTCGAACTGGGTGTACTGCTTCTTTTAGAGGGGTTAAAGGCTTGAAGCATGCCAGTGTTGACCAGTTCTTGGACAGCGTCAATCGCAGAGCTTTTCCCCAACAGATCAACCACTCCAATCTGCTTTAAGTGAAAGCGAGCATGGCAGGCCAGACCTTTCCGGTTCTCAAACTGCTCTCCGCACAGAATACAGATACGGTCCTCAGAAACTTTAGGCCGTTTGCTGGCAGCTGGGGGGGACAGACTAGAGGGACGTTTAGAGGAGGATTTAGGAGGGGTGTCTAAGATAGGCCCCTTTTGTTGCTTAATTTCTATGGGCTTGAGGTCTTCCTCCTCCATGATCTGGTAGAGATGATCAATCGGGCTGCCTTTGATCTCATTCTCAGGTATTCCTATTTGGCGCAGATGGGCCCGGGCATGACTGGACAGTCCTTTGCGGGTCTCATACCAGCAACCACAGAGTTGGCACACATGGACCTCATCTTGGGTATCTTAGAAAAACAATGAGTAAAAGGTGGTCCATGTTTAATCAGTAAAAATAAATGTTACAGGAACAGTATGAATGGATACAAAATAACATGAGAGGGTTAATGCTAATCTTCAACATAGATAGAAATACCTAGAGTAATCGGAGCATCCGTTTCCAGCGGCGCCCAAAGTGGCTTGCATGCAGTTTGGTGATCTGACGATGAAGAACTGTTCCTTTCTCTTGTTTTAGACTCAACCGACCCAAGACCCGAGGGGGACAGGGGTAGGAGAGAGGTAGAGGACTCTTTTGGCTTGTCCTCTGATACTGAAGGGGTCCTGGCCTCCTGTTGGGTTGTTTTCTTGACAGGCGCGGGTCCAGGGGAAGAGGAATCAGCCTTGAACTGAGGGAGGGAGCCATCTCTTTCCCGGATAAGCTGGTAGAGGAGATCAATCGGAGCCCCGCTGCTTTCTGACAATGTCACACCGAGCTGTCGCAGATGGAGGCGGGCATGGCTGGAGAGACCTCGTCGTGTCTCAAAGTATGTCCCACAGACTTCACACATGACTGGCTGAGGGTTTGCTGTCGTAAAGTTAAGATGAGAATTAAACACCGCTGTAACTTAGAGGATGCAATAAAGAAATAAGATGCTTGTTGCTAATTTTTACCATTCTGGTGATATTCATTATCAAAGACATATGAAAAACTGTAATATCATTTGTAGGAAAACCAACACAATAATAAAATTCATAATGAAACAAGGCCAATCGTGAGCTGTTAACAGAAAGTATACAACAACTGTTTGATATCAGATCAGATGACGGAGAAGAAAGGAGGAAGTTTTAACTCTGAAGCAGATGTGTATCTCTGTAGTGGGAGTTAAACTATGGAACTGTCAATGTAATGAATTAAAGACCTGTACAAATCTTTTACAAGCCGAGAAAATGTAAAAGGAAAATGCTATTAGAAATTATGACAAAAGTAAACAATGATTCTTGTAGAAAAGTCAGCTTGAAATGATGTCTTTTATTTATATTTATCATTATGCTTGTTTTGTTTACTTCATGGTTTGACTACAGTATAGCTCAGTTTGAAACTCTGTTCTGTTTGTTTTGTTATTATTGTTTTGTTTTGTAGTACGAATGTTGCTCAGTGATAGATTATTAGAATGATTAGACTTTGAGTGAGGGGCAGGTGGTATAAGATGTTTCTTCTCCCTGCTCTCTTCCAACCAATGAATAAGAAATGTTGCAATGTGACATGACATTGTCAAATTGAGAAATTACCTTGGCTGGAATAAATAATTAAAGAAAAAAAAAAGAAAAATAAAATCTTCTGTGATATGGCATTAAATGACGAGGGATAAATCATAAAAATATCACCACTTTTTCACTTACAATCTCTCTCACCTTGAGAGTCCATAGCTGACTGTAAAGATGAGACCTGGTTATCAGTGATGTCTCGTTGCAGGGTTTGTGGACCTAAATAAAAGAAAGCAAAGAAACTTCAACAACTCTATCCTGCTTTAAAATGTCAACCTCTTCTGTTAGATTAAAAAATAAAACAGGCACAAAAAAACCTACTATTTACAAAGAAAATTAGCCATATACGGGAGAAAAAAGTTTTTATTTTTTATTTTTAAAGAAGCCCTTTAAGAAAAATTGGTTTTTGGATTTATGCAAATTTGCACGTTTTTTTTTTTTTTTTTACAAATAGCGAAGATCTTACAGTCCTGTTGTACTTTTTAAATTGTAACAGAATACAACTTCAAGCAAATCCATAAAAATTCACCTTAAAATCGTAAGCGGCTAAAACATCCTGAACATTAAGCATTTAAAGGTTATTAGAGATACTCATGTTGCTTCCTTTGTTTTGCTACAGAAGCTAACTAGCTTCCTGCTCGCTCTACCCGCGATTCATTCAAGCTCATAACCGTCTTTCTAAACACAATCTCCGGATAGGAAGACCAACAACGGGTATTTAGTACGAACAAAATGTCATTTACCTAAGAAAGTGAACAAAGTGTCCCAGCAAACTGTTCTGGTTTTTTCAACCACCCTGAAACACGCTAGGAGGAAGCACTCGTCCACACAGTACCGGTCCCATGGTTTTTCACAATAAAAGCCTCAACCTGGGACGAGGCAACAACTGGAGGGGCAGAAAAATTGATCTAATGTTTGAGAGGCAAAGTAAGTTTCCTTGTGTAGCAAAAGTGACAAAAACAAAAAAGTTAGTGTTGTAGCATTAAAGGGAGGATTTTATGTGTGTCCAGTCTCATACCAACGTGGTCTTAAGTTTTGACTTTTTTGCGGGTAGAGGATTTTTCAAATGTGTCTCACTTTTGTAAATTATGCAAACTTTAACATTCTTGATGATCTGGCCTGTAACCACACAAAGTATTTTTTTTTATGAATTACCATTCTGTCATACACAGGATATCAGGATGTTTGGGATTGAGCACTCTAAACTCCAAGAAATAAACCTATTTGCCAAAACATAAAATGAGACAACAATATTGAGGTGAATAATAAACAGCTAAGGTTTCTAAGAATAAAAAATATCAAAGGTCCGAATTATTATTATTATAATCATTATTATTATTATTATTATTATTATTATTATTATTTTTATGCAATTGTTTTATATATTTTTTGTCTGTAAATTTGGTGGGTTTTTTGTGATATAAAAAATTATCTAGTTTGAAACCTTCTGATTTTTAATGCCTCTTCTTCCGTATATTTCATGTCTTTGTTTATTATTATTATTATTATTATTATTATTATCATTATTATTATTAGACTTCGGCAAATGATACATAAAACCCTGGAGTCAGAAAGTGTTTCCTGAGTAGTGAGCAGTTCATTCACTCTTATTTTGAAAGGTTGTATTGTACTTCCGGGGTTCTGTATTGGCCCCGCCTACTTCTTGCACGCAGCCGTCTTCACTTTGAGCTCTGTTCTTCTGCAGACTGCAGACTTCAGCCCGGCCAACTCCTCCTCGGCTTCACTGAAAAACAGGTAAGCATCAAGATTATTAAATCACTCTGGTTTATTTTTTCTGTAATTAAGTCAAGTCTGCAAATATCGGTTCAGAAAAGAAAGAATTTAACCTTCAACTGGAAGATTATGAAGAGAACGGTGAACTATATTGACGTGAAGCTAACGTTGGGCTAGTTAGCCAATGCGGGTCAGCGTCTCCCCTCCTTTCTTAGTTTGTGGGCCTGTCTGTGGCCCTTTCTTTGTCTCTTTACTGCAGCTCAGAGAAGAGACTAATCGCTTTATTTAACAAATGCTTCTTTCTCTGTGTTTAACAAACGAAATTAAACGTGAAGCATGAGGCAACCCGGCTGAACTTTGACCTAACCGTGTCTGCATACCTATACTTTATGCGCATAGTGCGATTTACCTCCGTGATTTCGAGTTTTAACTCAAACAGATTAGGTTTATTTTAATTCACACTGTATTCAATGAGCCTAATATCAGTAAAGAAGTAATCTCTCACCTTGTTTTAATGCTCGTATTTATCAAAAAAGGTTTAATTTGTTAAATAAAGTCTGCAATCAAACATCTAAATATACTCTTACAGTTAAAAATCGCATTTGTTAACACTCATAAGACGTCTCTATTAAACAAGGGTCCCTTATTTCGTGTGTTGAGATTATCCTGGTTATGTAAGCTTCCTAATAAGCTATTGTTCCCTGCTGCTTCAACATGACTTGCATGTGACTCTCCTCTCTTTGCCTAACGGGACATACTTTAGGAAAGTGCACCGGTTTCTACCTCCGTACAAACCGCTGCTGTCTAGTTAAACCCAAAGCACTTCGTCTTTCTAGATCTCAGTGATCTTTGACACGAGTTTCCGGGGACTTTGCTGCTGTCAGAGTCGGTGCCTGTTGGCTCCACCCAGCTGAGCTTATCTGTGATGATGTCTGGACTGTAAGAATTTTCTGGAAGTATTTGTTCTGTCTTTCTCACAGCCCTTTACCGACATCGCAACCATGTCCTCTGGAAAAGCGCAGATTGGCAAGCTTGCCCCAGACTTCACAGCCACAGCTGTGGTAGATGGGCAGTTCAAGGACATCAAGCTGTCAAGCTACAGAGGTAACAGGGCCGTAACTTGTATTTCTGTTGAAGTACTGTTGAATTTTTGTAGTTTAATTCATGTTTTCTGATGCAGATTTGTTTCACTTCCTTTTCTGTCTTTCAGGGAAGTATGTGGTTTTCTTTTTCTATCCCCTGGATTTCACATTTGTGTGTCCCACTGAGATCGTGGCGTTCAGTGACAGGGCTGAGGAGTTCCGTAAGATTGGCTGTGAGGTGATCGGCTGCTCCGTAGACTCCCACTTCAGTCACTTGGCATGGTGAGAAAGTAGAGCCCCATCTTGAGTTTTACCATAAATGTTATAAATTTATGCACAGAAGTTAAAAAAAAAAACATCCACAAAGCAAGTCGAGCATTTATGCTCAGACTCAAATTCAGCCTTTAAGAAATTCAGTTTTTTTCCCCATCTTCATTTCAACTTCAACAGGAGTTACACAAGTTTTATAAAGTCTGTTGTTTCTGCTCTACTACAATATGAAAGGATGGATTTAAAAGGTTATTGTCCCCCTTAAACAGGAAAAAAAAACTGTAAGAGTAATAGGACTTGAGCACGAAAGCTGCCACTTTGATCTTGGAAAGAAATACAACCGCCCAGACTCAGTAGGGTCGAAACTTGTCAGGCATTGGTGGTTGGCTGTTTTAATTACACAGTTCATAATAAGGGTGTGAGCTGAAGCCACACACCCAAGTTTGTTAGTTTATCTCTTGTCCGGTGCTCCTGCAAAGTTTTGATAAGTTCAAATATAGTTAGAAGTAGTCTGCACTGTCTAAAAGAAACCGTTCAGTAACAGTTTTGAATAAGGGAAAATAATAACCTGAATATGACAGGATATATTTCTGTTTGAGAGTGAAATACTGCATTGGACTTGTTGAAGTTTGACCTAATTTCCATGTCTTGTTGGTTTAAGTAGCACCAGACACACCTGTGAGAAGTTTATATCTAATTATGAAATAGTCCTGATTTAAATTTGTTGCTTTTTAATGACCTGAAAAGCTAAAAAAGACCAACAACAAGAAGAAGGTTGCCTATTTCTATGTGGTTCTTCCTCATATCTTAAGTTTCAGGGGATTGTTGCTGAATCACACTGTAGAGAACAGACTATCTGCACTGAAAATAAGATTCAATTACATCCTTAATTTAATCCTGCAGGATCAACACACCAAGGAAACAAGGAGGTCTGGGAAACATGAAGATCCCCCTAGTGGCTGATCTAACCAAGACTATCTCTGCGGACTACGGTGTGCTGAAGGAGGATGACGGCATTGCATACAGGTTAGGCAGGCTTCTTATGTCATAGGATATGCCCTGGGGAACAACAAGTATCTATCTGACATATCTATAAATCTATGTGTATATCTATCTATTAGAAAAAATGCATTATAATAAATACTTCTAACTTCTAAAGGCTGACTGTAAAAATGAATTCTTGCCTCTCCAGGGGTCTTTTTGTGATAGATGGCAACGGCATCCTGAGGCAGATCACCATCAATGACTTGCCCGTGGGTCGCTCTGTGGATGAGACTCTGCGCCTTGTCCAGGCCTTCCAGCACACTGATAAATACGGAGAGGGTAAGAAACCGTCGTCCCTGTTATAAACAAATCAGCTGTCTGTTGGCTGATTGATAAGGGCGTTGCAACGGTAAAAATGCGGGGGCTGTGTTTGGGCATGTTTCAGTTACAAAGGCAGCCGCCAGCGTATCATTTACGATCAACCTTTGTTTTACTCTTCATTTTGTTGCCATAAGGTGTTATTGGAAAAAGGTCTGGCATAAAATCCAACTTGCTTTTTTGCTCACAGCAAACTATAATGATTCTAGTTATTTGATACAAAACAAGACTCCACATTTATTATATATTTAAAGCTACAAATAAGCGTTCAAAAAAAAAACTGCATTGACTATGTGCTATAAAGGCCAGCAGTGCATTTTGATAGATGAAGTTCACCATGATGAGAAATGTAAAGCTTACATGCTAAAGGAAAAATACTCTAGGAGGATAAATGAGTAAACTGACAGCAGAAAATGAAGCAGTGAAGACTAATCAATGTGAAAGAATTCAATTTTAATGCTCAAAATCTCCTCAGGGGTCCCCCGATCCCCACTTGTTATGTATGATCTCTGTATTTGGAATAGTTTGACAATTATTTATTACAGTTCATTAAATAGAAAGTGCAGATATTTTCACACTTGGACATCAATTGTAAGTAAAACTCTCTATGAGCTGTACCCGGCTGTATATCTCTTGCATTTTTGTCCTTCACCAGTCACACCCCTGATTTACATCCTGTTTAAACAGTTTGGATTTGATATTTGTTACCCAATAACTTTTGACTGCTGTAAATCTTTTTAATTCCAGTGAGAGCTGTGAAAGAGTTATTCAAATTTAACTTTATTTTATGGCATTTTTCAGACAAAAAAACGCAGTTCAAAGTGTCTCACAGAGGCTTAAAACAACAATTACACAACAACAAAAACCGACCCTCCCATCCACACACCCACCCATGGACCCACACACACAGAGATATGCACCCACCCTCACTCACCCACACATGCACACACAAAGTGAGAATTCAAGATATATTGTTAAAGAGACATGACCTGACACCGAGGCATTATGTGAGGAAAGAGCTACCTTTGGGAAACACTGGAGATAAAGATAAAAATGGTAAAAAGACTAAAACCTGCTTGACTAAAACAAAAAAATAATATTAAATGAACAGATAAGAGCTCTTTAACGTGTAAAAGTGGCAAAAGAAGTAAAAACCTCTATGACGGGAATTAAGAAAAAGACTAAAAACAGAGATAATTCATAAAATGACATATAAAATGTGCCTCAAGATTTCTTTTTCTACATTGGGATTTTAGACCCCCCCAAAAAAGTGAGCTTTTTGTACTTGTACGCCTACTCTGGAAGGATTAGCTTGTGTACAGACTTGAGTTATTAGTTTAGCCTCTAGGGTATTGACACGTGCACCTTGTCCTCTGGATATGCAAAGTTCAACGTCTAAACATCAGGAACCTGCTGGTAAACTTTGTTCACTTTGTTCTTTCTCTTCCCTCTTGGCACAGTCTGCCCCGCTGGCTGGAAACCAGGAAGTGACACCATCATCCCTGATGTTGACAAAAGCAAAGACTTCTTCTCCAAGCAGTAAAACTATGAAGATGTACCAGCTGACTTCCTAACCATAGCACTTGCCTTCAGATAAGAGGTGTCCCCGTGAAGCAATATCTCATGGCGTCCAAACTAATGTGTTGAACACAAAAAGTGTCAGAGGTTGTTGTATGAATCCTTTAATCCAGTATCTTATCTGTGTACGTCTAATGTACAAGTGGTGGGGCAACCTCATAGTCTCAAGCACTGAAAGTTTAGTTTTGTTCCTTTTTTTCCAGAAAAATACTGATTTGTTTTCTTGGCTGTCGATCATTTGTTACCATCTTTATTAAAACAGTGGGAAAATAGCAACTTTGTGTTGGTGTGGTAAAAGTATCAAGACTTTTTCATTTCCTTGAAGTAATAATCACCATATTAATCATTTTGCACTGCAGACGCGGTAGCTCTTCTGTCTTAGCGTCTCAGTCTGATTGCATTTCCACGAAGAAATGATCATAAATGTTCTTCCTTGAGCTGCGAAACTCCGCTATAGTCCTTAATGGACTGTCCTGAGGTCTCACTACAAACAAGCGGCTGCTGGAAGAGAGGTGAGTTGTGTTTCGTCTCTTTGCGAAAGAAATTAGGCAAAGTTAAAAAGATGCTTGGTGCTAGTGTACCCTATATGTACTGTTGATGAAGTTAGGTGCGGTTCTGAGCATTATTTGTGACTATAGAGTGGCGTTTTGGTTGAGGTTTGCATGTGGAGACATAGACTGCTGTGTATTGCTATCATGCAGTCGTTACTAAATTTGGTATAACTAGAGAAGCAAGTGGTCGGCAACATTCATCTATCGAGGGGGTGTCTAACTCAGTGTTATGTAATGTTTGACCCTAATTTTAATTTTACGCCAGAATATCCCTTTGATTTTGGAAGATAGACCTCATTCAAAAGTCATATCTTTTAGGTGCTGTAGAGCCTTGATTGGAGTAATAATAAAACCACATCAGAACTTGTCCTGTGAAGTTAAATAGTGACACTTGTATCTTTATAGGTGTCCATGATGGCAGTGGATGAGATGTATGGAGCTCTTCCCATGATTCATCTCTGGAGGGGGTGTCTAACTCAGCATTACAGTATGTTTGACCATAACTTACTTTTACGCCAGAGTATCCCTTTTAAGTGTGAAGTAATTCTGTTTTTAACCTCATGGTGGTGCTATAAAATAAGAAATGTAATAGTAGAGGAACTTAAAAGCTTCAAAGTATTGTGGCACCAGGTAAAACTTCGTGTGTCCACACTGGGCTGTACAGAGGAGCTCAGTTGGTGACCAAGTCTTGGTAAATATTGGATTTATTGTGGTAGTTGACTCAGAACAACCTGGCATTGCCAAACAGGGGGAATTAGGAATGAGGACATATTAAGTAAGATGAGGATAATTATTAACAGACTCATAAGACTGACCATAATACACTAGTCCCTGTTTTCTCTTACATGAAACCAAAAGCTGTTTTATCGGTCTACGATTCTGAGTAAAATAGATTAATCGTCTTTCTATATTCAGGTTTATAAAGCACACTCTCATTTCAGTGTTTTGGAACCCCAGATTTTCTCTGTCAGCTCATAGATAATTTGCCTTTTCTAACTGTAGTTTCCCCTGACTGTTATTTCAAAGTGGCTCTCACCCTGCGTGGTCTATTCTCGGACTTATCTGGAACCACTATCAGCCACTCTTTTTTTTCTGAATAAATGTGTTCATGACTTGTTTTGGGAAATTGAAAGCAGACCGGGGAAACTCCCCTAACGAGAATAAACCACTCATTGACAAACCTCTCGTTTACACGCACACACACACGCACACTCACAGTGGTGTGAAGTCGAAGACGCAGCACCTCTGACGGACAGTGTAGGAGGGGGTTCCCGGAAACTTTTCGTGATGTGACGTTTGCCAGAAAAATGACCATATATGGGCTTACGTACTTACGTCAATAGAGACATAATCCTACACTGGGATGTTTCCAACGTCAAATTACCGCTGTAGACTGAACCGCTGACTATACAGTGTGGTTTTGTTAACCAGAATAAGCATGAAAATCCTCATGTTTTCTGATAAACGCAACCCCAATGACAAAAAACAAAACAAAACACCACCACATATATCTTTGTTTCATAAGGTCATTTACTTAAATATATATACTGTACAGGTAAAAAAAGACAGGTTCAACCTGACAAACGCAAATAACTTACACAATAATACATCACAAATAGAAATTAAAGTAAAATGTAAACAGGCGATGCCATGGGGACCCTTTTAAAGACTTGTACGAAAGAAATGCCCGCAGTGTTGATATTTTTTTCATGATTTCTACAAAGGCTACAGTTCATCAGCCAAAGAAACCATCATGATCCAGTTCATTTCAAAATAAAAAAGACATAGTTCTTTGCCAGTTCAGTGCAGTTCTCGTCCAGTGTATTAAAAGTGCTCAGTTTCTTCAGTAAGACTTGACTTTAGGCGCTAACATGAGCTGGCAGCCACTGCTCACGTGTGTCATGACTTTCTGTTTGAGCTGGGCCACCTGCTCTCTCAGAACAGAAGCTGTGCTCGACAGTCCAGCGTTGTCCGTTTTCAGGACCTTCACTTTGTCCTCCAGACGAGCGATGCGCTCCAGTTTACGCCTCCGACACTTGGATGCGGCCAGCCGGTTCCTGAGGCGCTTCCTCTCCGCTTTGATCCGCTCCTGGTTCTCCATATCGATGGGGGACATCGGCGGAGACCCGCTGTCGCTGCTCTGCATGTCAGGTACCGTCTGGGGCTCCTCTTTCAGCCCGACGAACCGCTGCGAGTGGATGCCCGCACCTGCCAGAGAGTGCTGGAAATGGTGAGACCCGTGCGCAACGGCCGGGGAGTGCTGGTGGTACTGGTGGTGCGGCAGGTAGCTGATGGTGGTGGACGGGTAGCTGCCTGCAGAGGACAGACTCGGGTTCGTTGTGCAGCTGTTGAGGGTTGTGTATTCAAGGTGTTCTGGTTGCATGGATGAGCCGAACACCGAGGCAGGAGCCGAGCAGGACACCCCTCCGGTGCCGATGGCCACGTTTGGAGGCGCCATCTGGTTCATCTTGTGTAGGTCGTCCAACGCTTTCACAAAACCGTCAGCGAAACCCTCCTGCTCCTCCGTGATGCCGCGGTTGTACAGGTAATGGGCAGGTGTGGGTGTTGTAGTGATGACCCCGTTGCTGTTCTGGATGATAAGTCGCTCTAGTTCAGGAGAGGCGAGCTTCAGGGAGCCCACGTCCGCCGTCCCCGCTGAATAGAAATCACTTTCGGCGCGCAGGTGCTGCGACTTGAAGTTTGAGTTCCGGTATGAATCTGAGAAGTTCAAGTTCATATTCTGCTTAAGCAGCTTGTAGTCTGGCAGTGCTGCGCCTGGGTGGCCATAAGCAGAGAGAAACGAGTCGTCATAAAAAGGCTGTTCCATTATTGTGGACATATTTCAAATCACACAGTCAAATATGTTTAAGTGCGCTGTAAAGATGCTGTTTGGACACCTCGGTGTCAGTGTCCCAAATGGTTCAAGCTCCGGCACAAAGTCCCGCTGTAGCCAATAATTAAAACTGAAGCTCAAATCTATCAAAAAAAAAACAGAGCAAAACTTCCAAAATAGTGGAACTGTACTGTACCAAGTCGTCGATTTGTACCTTTTAGTTGGATTCAAAGCGGAGTCCTGTGACTAATGCAGATGTTTCATGTCACCCGTGTTTCTTTTCGCTTTGATAGGGGATCCACTCCGTTTTTCCTGAGAAATGACAGGCGGCCGGACTGCTGGGCTCTTAATATATACTCGGGCTCTATGTGCGCTACAAGCAGCTCGCTGATTGGACAGTTCCTTTGTGGTCCCCGCCCCCGGGATGTCAGAAAGTCGATGACGTTGTTGCCAGGAACCAGGACTGTAAACAAGACTCGGCCTACTTGTCTTAAGAAAAACTGAACCCAGGTAAGAACTTAAAACACACACTAGACAAAGTCACAGTTCTTATCACCAGGAAGGATGAATAAAGAGTCTGATTGTGTCTTTCAGTTCATCCCAGAATAAAAATAACCCTCTCCAGTCTGACTCTTCAACTCCAAAAACCTACTTGGACTTTCGTTTCACTGAGGAGCCCAAACAGAAAGACTAAAGTCTGGTGCTGAGTCATGCAGTCCAAGTCGATATCGGCCTGTCCATATTTGGGTATCCTGGAAAACCAGTTCCTCCCCAACAGGAGCGGGAAGCCAATCCCATCCTGGCGCACTTCCAAGCTTTCTGGGATGTGGGAGGAGGAGGAGGAGGAGTAGGAGGCGCTCCTTCACCCTGCAGGCATGGAGAGGATGGGCCGGTGTCGACTTCAAAACTGTGTAAATGAACGTCTACTCGAGAAAGGTAAAGGGGTCAGGTATTCACAGGTATTTACCTTAATATGATTTAAAACAAAAACTGGACAGGGGCAAAAAGTCACTGAGAGAAAGAGGCAAAAAAGGGGAAGAATATTCAGAGATATTTACAGGAGTCAAAATACACATAGGGGAGAGTGGGGTAAGAGGATCAATTTTTCATATTTGGGATCACTACACCAAGTCAATCATAGTTTTTTGTCTGCAAACCAACAGAATGAGTGTAAACATAACTGTCTTGATAATATAGCATGTCAAAAAAAAGTGGTCTCCTATGGTCAACTTACCCTGTGTATGGGGTAAATTGACCATAGGAGCGGGGTAAGTTGAGCCGTATCCCTACTACCCTCACCCTCCACCCCAGCCCTCCCTCACCTTCTCTCTCCCTAAATAACAGTCACTTCTTCACATTCATGTGTATTTTTATCAATTATACGCTATTCAACTGGTACAATAATTCTTTTTATTATCATTAATGCACATAACTGCTAACACGAGAATGTCTTTAAGTGATTCAGAACATTCACAGCTGTATTTTTGAAAAGAAAAGCTAAAACATTTCAAGAATCTGAACTGAAACTCTGATCCTCTCATCAGACTCCTTTACTTTCTCAGTTACCCCAGAACTACTATGATGACTTTATTAGTCCTCTTAGCTAAAATGGTGGACTTTTATGCTCGGTTTCTGACCTAATGCTGTAGCTCATAGATACCACAGTTGATGTATAAAACAAATTTAAAATGATCTTTTTTGGTCTGAACACAATTCTGATAAAACTTATGACAGACTAAATTCACTTACAAGAGTGAAAAGTGTTTTTTGGAAATAAATGTCTAACCCCTTCACCCATGTGCCTCTAACCTTCACAGACTCCATGAATTGATGCCCATTTCCTAAATATTTGGTCACGTGATCAACCCTTTGGCTCAACTTACCCCACTCTCCCCTATCACATAATGGAAATAGATCAATAAAAATTGGTCATTGTAAATTTATTTTTTTTAAATGATCTGTATCTTTATTTAAAAAACAGCCATTTTACTGTAAAAATCAGTAACTGAGTCTAAGTATGAATTCCTCCCTGAAATGGGTCAACATAAGTAACCTTTCATTGAAGTAGGAAGACACTTCGATATTTTCACTAAAGGAAAAAGATATTACTCAGCAAATGAGTGAAGGTATACACCTATAGAAATGATGACAGCGTAAACAAATGACTAAATCCTGAAGCTTGAATCTGAGAGGAAAGACACGTCCTCTCTGAACTAAACACCTGTCTGATAGAAAGACGTTTTTTGTTAACTCTGTATGGTAATGACCTCTGACTCACTTCCCAGAGGGCATTTCACTCTTGCACATTCATGTTCAAGTTCGTCTTCCACTTGTGCCCGTGTGCGTGTGTGATTAACCTCATTACCGTAACACCTTATGTGCCAAGCGCAGTCATTTGACTGGAGGGTAATGTTATTTTGTAATATAACTTAAAAGATGCTTTAAAGGAGTGGTTTATCCAGCGTGAGGAGCCGTTATCAGCAGATTAGTGATGGGCATGGCAGTTCTTTTTAGATGTACTGAATCACTGGAATCAGGTCACTAAAAAGATTCGTTCACCAAATCACTGAATCATTTAGCGGGAGAAGCCTGCGACTCCGACCTCCTGATGAGAGTGTTCGGCTGTGTTACTTTGGCAAAACAGGTTTATAAAAATGAACTTGTTTATAAGTCATGATGTTTTTAGCGTACTGTCCTATGGTATGCTATTTACCAGGTCTGTTTGGTAAATTGGGCTCAGTGAGTGATCCGTTCACTGAACATTAAGAAGAATTCACACTGAACACACACCATTCCCTCCGCTGCAATGATAGGATGCTGCGGGTTTAATGCCCTACTTGTTACATGCTGTGTCCTATTGCATGCAGGTTGTTGTGGTGGCAATTTAGCAGTTAAAAAAGGTAGTTCTGGCTGACAAAAATGATTCCAGAGAGTGTAGTTCAATGTGTGATTCGTTCACCAAGTGATTCAGGCGTCGGTGCATGTGGTCGCTCGTCCGCCGGCTGCTGGCCTGGCAATGCTGCTTCTCACTTCAGCTTAACTGAAGTGAGAAATGAACCTATCTTGAGGTAGTGATTCGGTTCAGTACGTTCACTTAAAAGATTCGGTTCTTTTGAACGAATCGTTCGCGAATGACACAACACTAAGAAAAGATGTAAAGATTAAGGCTTTGCCACATATCCCATCATGCAGTTTAATATCGTGTTAATGTGAGATATCTCCCTCTTTAACCACTTCCACTCTGCAGGGACTTTATTGGCTCTTTGTGCACTTAAAGGGACCTGCTAGAATTGCAACAGCCACAATGACGTCACTATGACCTCTTCTGGGATGTTTCCTCAGTCCCAGTGATGATGAGGATGTTGTGCTCCTGTTGTGGTTACTCAAACTGACGCAATTTGATGTGGTATACATTTGAATCACGGGTTCAATTATTAAAAACCTGAGTTTTTAACTCGTACATTAAGACTAGGCTGACCTTTGAACTTGTGTCCTTTGTTCCTTCCTCAAGTCAGATAATAAAGCAGATGTAGTAGTTGCATTATTATGTCTCACCACTTCTGCTGAATTTTATCTGTCATACCGAGGGCATCTGTAACCCACATGACAGATTGAGTTGCCATGCAGCGGTCAGTTTAGGTTGAGCTCCTCCTACTGAAACATGGCCTGATGTGCCATGTGGGTCTGCTGTCAGAGAGGAGAAACGTTGGGGGAAACAGAAAAGCAGAAGTAGTTTCAGGGAAACAGAGTGCAGTATCACTTAGTGGTCAGTTCCAGTTTCATAGTGACCTCATTGTAAAGGTTTCTACAGTTACTGCGGAGACATCACACAGGTATGACTTTGCCACATGTGGTTTGATAGGAAGACGTTTTTTACTTTGGTGTGAAATTGAACGTATTGTCTTAACTCCTGATCAGATGCACAAAATTCTACATAGACATAGTGTGATATTCACTGACAGACATTTCCACTCTTTATTTTCTCTGAGCTTTGGTGTAGTTCGAGATGACAGGAAAACAAATTTAAACATAAGGTTTGAATGGAAAGCATCAGAAAATTATCAAGCTGCAATCTCCAAGAGTTTGCTTTGAAGAGATAGTAAGAGCAGGTAAACTGTGGGGGAAGTTTGCTCGAGGAAACCGGAAAGGAAATGATTAAACAGGAAGCCATTAGTAAAGACAAAACAATATCGGTCTCTATTGTCAACTTTATATGAACACAAGAAAACAGGATGCAAAAAATATGATACAGTTTATCTCCAAACCATAGACTGTATAAACTGTGGACAACTTGGTTCCAACTTCCATCGTTATATGGATTTGAAGCCAAAATGCTATCGGTATTTCTGGGATTTTCTCCATTTTTTGGAACCACCACTTGCGCAGCAGCGTTGTACACATTCGGCAGGAGAGCCGATGTGATGACGCTCGGCTCAAACAGCGTATCCCCCTATGCGATCTTCGTACGCCCATAGGCTGTATCAAGTGTCAATCATAGAAAACATGAACCCCCTAATAACTTTTAAAAATGGAGCTGAACAAAACAGTCTGACAATAACTACATGTCAACATCACAACCAGAGGGGAGAAAAATTTATATTCCGTGTAATAAATTTATAAAATTTTGTCCACAGCTCCATAGGGATCGCTGGAGGAGGCGGGATTCATGACCTATACTGCAGCCCATCACCAGAGGGTGCTCTTCTTGCGGTGGCTTCACCCAGCGAGGAGGCAGACAGCGTCCATTCTAGACACAGTCTTTCCTAGTACCTTTAAAAAAAAGTCGCTTGAGGCAGAGAATAGATCCTGTATATTTGTGTGACACGCTGCTGCTGTTCCAAAGAACCCCCGACAGTTTATCGAAGTTTTCAGAGCTTTAATCACAGAAAAAATGCTTCTACAGTCACCAGTGATTTACACGCGTACATCAGATAGAATACTTTGCGACGTGTATCTTTGCAAACATAGAACATAAAGTGCAGTCAACAAAAATTACAGCTACCAGGATAACCGATAAGCAAAGAAACATTATGGCTCCTACACAGTCTATGTTCCTTGCTGTTGATTTACAGATCTGTCATTGAATCTACCTTTCCAGTAAAAGTTTGATTACCAGCATCACCATCCAGGAATTCTCAGTCAGGATTGGTTTACAGTATGAAAGCAGAAGTACAATTAAAAACCAGTTAAGGTTTATAAATCGACCCGTTAGCTAAGTAAATAAGAGGGTCTCTATGAGCTAATCTCACATTAATATTAAACTTTTGTTTCATAGAAGCAAAGTGAAGAGTCCATTTGACCTTCACAGGATCTTTAACTCCTTTGA